TGATGAGCTGCACTTGAAACATTGGAAAAAACATAACTAAAATTGATTTATTTGATAGTTGGTTCTTCATTTGATTTATTTTTCATAGTGTTGATAAAAGTGAAAATGTCCCTATAAAAATATGTCAAATTATTATCAAACTATCCAATGGATCAATTTTAGTTATGTTTTTTCCAATGTTTCAAGTGCAGCTCATCAGTTGTTGATAGTAACTGAATTAATCATCTGGAGAATCATTTCGTACGAAAAATTTAATTCTCCACGTTGTTTTTGGTTGATATTCTTTTACGTATGCCAAATTCGGTCTTTATCGTTTTTTTTTTCTTTCATCTATTAATGGACAACAAAAAGATTTTAAAATTGAATAAGTACAATATTCATTATAAGCCTGGCAACTAACGCGCGCGAGATCGTACGCTTTTGTTAGTTTTTTTTATTATCGTTTTATACGCGTTTAAAGCTGGGTATTTGTAAAAGTATAAAAGCATTAAAGGTGTAAAAGTGTAAGAATTACTTTAAATACATTAAAATTTTGTGATTTTCAGTTTGTTTCTTGCGATTAGCACTTGTGCTCGCAATAGTAAATCTCTTTCGAGTCTTTTCTAGTTTTTTCTTTTAAGTTTTTTTCTTTTTTATTTTCTTCCTTTGGTGTTAATAGCTTTTCTCGTGGCTTGTTTACCGTTGCTTCAGTAGTGTAGATTTTACGTGTAATTTAAGAGAACATTTTTCTAATCTTCATTCTCTCTTTTTTTCGTGCTTCCAGTTTGGTTTTGCTTTCTCTCATTGTTTTGCTCTCTTGTTACAGTGACAACGTAACGGAGAAGTTTTATTAAATTTCTTAAATTTGTAGATAAACTTAGTGTTATGGATTTTTTTGAATTTTTTTCTTTTTTGTCTTACTAATTCACTTCCTTCTTTTCGTTGACTTGACATGGACTGCTTATATACACCATGTTGCGCAAAAACAGGCCCGGAATCGGATAGAGTCGTTTCTTGGTGGCCCTGCGAACGCTTTGATCATGCAAAGTGTGCCGGCATTCTCGGGCGTGCTGCTTGCGCAGTCGCTGACCCTTCTAAAGACTTAAAATGGTCATGTCCTGACTGTAGGCAACGGGACATTGATTTTTACAAACTTTTCACGGAGACGCGAAATGGTTTCTCGGAATTGAGTAGAAATCTCCAGCTAATTAAGTCTAAGTTTGATGAGTGTCGTTTTATTGAGCACTCATCTTCTACCCAAGTCAGAAAAATAACAACTCGTAGCGTAACGTGTGGGACATCACCTCTGAGTTCCTCTAAATCTGATCCGTTGATACAAGTTACCGCTCCCTCTAAATCTAAAATGAACGTTAATGTTTCCGATATTGTTGAATCAGTCGGTAACAAAATAGTTACAAACATGCCGGCTAGTACTTCTGTTTTAAGCTACGCTGAAGTGGCGAGGGTATGTCCGCCCAGGGCCGTCACTCACTCTAATCAAGCGCCATCGCCTAAAAATAATAGAGAGAAAAATAAATCATTCTCTCCCCCTAGCTGTTCGAATGTGAACGCCGGTCACCAGACTGGGCAAGACGCACAAGCTGCTGGTGCAAGGGCGATAACGCCATCTATATTCTCCCCAACCTTAAACCCTCCTGTTCCAAGTAATGACATTTGCTTGACGGCAATTCCTCCCAGAAAAGCAATATTTGTGTCAAGACTGGCACCTGAAACATCGGTGGATAACATAAAAAGTTATCTGGCGGCGAAAGTCCCATCAGTCAACTTAAAGCGCGTTAGCATTTTCAAAATGGCTTCTTCTCAATCTAGGCCAATCTCCTCTCTTAAAATACTAGTTCCGACTGAAAAATGTGATATATTGTTGAACAAACCACTGTGGCAAGTAGGATCCTTAATTATGAAATGTATCCGTCGAGATCGTCCCCGTAATAACAAAGCAATAGTTTTGTCGCCTTCAAAAAACTAAATCTTTCTTCAGGCCCATTTTCTTTCATTTATCAAAATGTTAGGGGCCTAAATTCGAAAATTCGTTCCACTTTTCTAAATTCAGTGAGCACGGAATTTTTCTGTTTGGCATTTACTGAAACTTGGCTAAAACCCGATCTTCATTCGTCGGGACTTTTTCACAATTCTTTCCAAGTCTTTAGCAAGGAGCGAGTGAATCGCATTGGTGGTTGTGTAATAATTGCCATATCTGCGTCAGTTCCGTCCAATTCAATAGAATGTCCCACTTCTCCTGACGGTGAATTTATCACAATTCGTGCCAGAATGCCTAATAAACAGCTATTTGTAACCTGCTCCTATATTCCCCCAAATTCTGATATCTTCATTTACAAGAAACATGCCGTCCTCATTTGTGAAGTGCCCAAGCGGTCTAGACACACTGATTTGGTCATTGCACTGGATGATTTCAACTTGCCTCAAGTTACTTGGTGTAACAGTGATAAGTCCACATCTGATAAAGCTATTGTGTACTTTAACGAATTTTTTGATCGTAATTTACTGCAAAACGCCGTACCCCTAATTGTAATAATAGACTGCTTGATCTCTGCTTTGCCAATTTCCTTGAGATTAGTGTAAATTGTTACCCAACTTTTAGTTTACCTAAGGACCCTTACCATCCATCAATGTGCATTTCCTTTCATCATAAGAATGATGGTTCGTTGACCTGCCCTAATGTGCCAATTCAAACGTTTTAAATAAATATTATGATTTTCATAAAATCAATATTGTATTGCTAAAACATCGTCTTTCACATATGAGGCTTGATTTCTCAACCGGTAGTATTGAAAGCTTATTGTCATCGTTCTACAATACATTAAATCTAGTTATTGCTGCATCTGCTCCGATTAAACAGTGCCGACCTCGATGCAGGTGTCCCCCGTGGTTTAATAAGACAATTAAATATCACAAGAATAGAAAAAATACGCTATTCAAAAAATATTCGAAAAGTGGATCTGCGCTTGAATTTTTCGCTTACTCGGTGGCGAGGCATAGATTTAACTCCCTCAACCACCATTATTACTGCAGATACCTTCAGTTCATTATATCCTCTCTGTTTGCTAATCCTAAATATTTTTTTAAATTTGTTAACTCTAAAAGAAAAATTTCCACATATCCCTCTTATGTTTCTTTTAATGGCTCTGATTCTATGCTGAATATTTCCGACGAAACTTTTCGATTACTAATTTCGATTTATCAGCGAACTACTCGCATCCTATAACTAACTCGGTTTCAATTCCTAACTTGGTTATTTCGGAATATGACGTTTTTAATGGGTTGAGTTCTCTAAAATATTGTTGTGCGCCAGAACGTTGATGGAATTCCATCATGTGTACTCAAATCTTGCGCTGTCGAGTTATGTGGTATGATCTCAAAGATTTTTAACTTGTCCTTGAATTTAGGTGTTTTCCCTTCGTGTTGGAAGAGTAGTTTCCTTATTCCTATCCACAAGATTGGAAGTAGACAATTGGTTGGGAACTACTCCGAGAAGAGAACTCCGTTATGTCTGGCGTACCTCAAGGAAGTCACTTATGTCCTATTTTATTTAGTTTATACATTAACGATCTCCCATCGGTGGTTAATTCCAGCCAGATCCTAATGTATGCTGATGATGTGAAACTGTTTTCTTCCTTCTCTGTTGAATCGCAATCACATCACCTTCAAAGTGATTTGGATAATTTTGTTGCAAGGTGCTCTTTGTATCTTCTGAAACTAAATCTGAGTAAATGTAAGAAGCTTTCTTTCTCAAGAAAAAAGTCATTCATTACTCAGTATTTCATTGATTCGCATAAGTTGGAGGAAGTCGATTCGATCACAGATTTAGGCGTTCTACTTGACCATAGGTTACGTTTCAACTTGCATATTGAGCTCTCGATAAGCAAAGCTAGGTACGCGTTTGGTTTTATAAAAAGGTGAACCAAACAGCTTGATGATCCCTACATTACAAAGAGACTGTACATGTGTTTGGTTAGACCCATACTCGAGTATGCCTCTCTTGTGTGGTCTTCTTCATATAGGTGCTATGTAGATTTAATAGAATTTGTTCAAAAGCAATTCTTGCTTTTTGCCCTTCGAAATTTGGGTTGGGATCCGATTGCCTCTCTTCCTCCCTATGAAAATGGGTTGCTTCTGTTATCCGTACCGTCTCTTGAGAAACGTAGGTTTGTTCTTGGCGTTTCCGTATCAAAGTAATGAAAGTAATAAATAGTGCTATTGACTCGCCTTCATTACTTGGTGAAATAAGCTTCAATGTCCCTAACCGCTTCTCTGGGCAATTTACCTTGGTTAAGCTTAGTCAGTGTAAATATAATTATGAACTGTTTAATCCGCTCAGAGTAGTTTGCAAGAACCTAAATGATATCTATCACTTATTCTCGTTATCGGACTCTTTAAAGTCCATTAAAGCAACATTGCTTAATACGTGCGATTTACCTATGTCGTACTTAAATTAGCTTTTATCCTTAAAAGTCGTTATGATTCGAAAATAAATTGTTGTTAAGTATTATCGGTTGCCAGGCTTATGCATGTTTGCGATGGCTTAGGGGTTCATTTGCAATTTGGTCCTGTACCGGTTGTAAGTGTAGCTCTATGCTGGTTGTGTACATGCTTTTTTTCTTTTTTTTTCTTCTTATTGGTTTTATTGTACCTATAGTAAGTTTTATTATTAATTAATATAAGTTTTGCATTAAGAGCCAATTGAACTCGACTGTTATTTGTTTAGTTGAGTTTCATGTATAAGTAGAATTAAATTAAAAAAAATAAATAAATAAATAAAAACTTCTTTTAGAGTAGTATCTAGAAGAGAGAATTTGCAAAAAATCAACAAATTTGAATTTATG